AAGGCCAGCAAGGTAAGTAGAATGAGCGTGGAGCTGAAATTGCTTTACTCAAAGAGGAAAAACCAGAGTAAGTGAGCAGAGACATAGTGATGCTCTTGGGGGACTTTGGGGACCATTATGTGCGTTACTGAATGGTTCTCCTCAGCAGGCGTGTAACTGCCGCTGCTGTCCCCTTCATTACTCCCCTCACCGGCTCCCTCACCTCTGTCACTTCAGTACCACCACCTGTCTGACCACTGCCCTCTCACGAGTTGCCATCGTCACCACCCTTCACCATCATCACCTTCCTGTTACTGCCACCGTCCTCCCGATCCCCAGCCTCAAACACCTCACACACCCATCACACCACGCTCTATTCTAGTTTCGCCAATTTGACCGACATTTCCAAGTTACAGCTGGCCCTTCATTGTGGGAAAGCTGAGGTAGGGACTCAAATAACTAGTCCCATCAAACCTACCACAGAGAGAGAATAGACCCTTCCTTCTTTGCTTGTTTCTTAGATTTCTCTACCCTTATACAGTCCAGGACCCAGCCCATGAAATGGTGTTGCCCACAATGGGCTGGGTCTTCCTATATCCATTAATAATCAAGACAACCCCCATAGATATGCCCACAGGCCAGCCTGATCTAGATAATCCCTCACTAAAACCCTCTTCCCAAGTGATTCTAGGTCGTGTCAAAATTAACCAGCACACTCTGCCAGGACCATCACCGTCTCCTCAACAGGCCTTCTGCCCCTCACCACCATCACACCTCACCGCCATTACTGTCTTCATGGTCAGCATCACCACCACTCTCCTAAGCACAATAAGGGGCTGCAGCTGGGAGACTTCGTCTTTTTACCAAACTGGAGCTCCGTCTCTCCTTGACTCTGACCTGTTTAATCCTGGCTGCCTTTCTGTCCACCATGTCTATAGAGGGGATTTACAGGTAACATATTGACAGCCTCGCTTTTCTCTCTTTTGAGACAGGATTACTGATCTTTTATTGTTTGCTTTGTAAATAACAAAAGATGGTAATTAGTTTGACTCAGAAATTTCACTTAGAAATTTGGAGTGTTTGGTTAGATTGCTTAAATTATACAGTGTCTGGTATCGCCAGCTGAAAGCAGCAGAGTATCTGAGGCACAGTCTTCTCCTTGCCACCCACTGCTTTTTCTTCTCCCTGTTCACCTTCTTGGTGTCCATGTCCCTGTCCGTGTGCTGGCCCAGTACTCAGCTTGTCTGAAAACTGGTCTCCAAAGCAGGCTGCTAAGCCGTCTTTGATGGATGATGTAAGAAGGGGAGAGTGCTCACAGTGTTTTTTAATCCTCTGCTTTTGGGACGGGACCAGAGTAACCTATTGTGAGGGAAGTAGTAATGACAGGCTAGCCATGGGCAAAAACAAGGGAATTCTGGCTAAGGAAGCCAGGTTGTTTGCCAAGGGAGAAGGTCGCCTCCCCAAACTCTTGAAAGCCACTCAGCAGTAGTCTGTGTATCTGTACCGCTCATGGGTTCGTCTACTCAACCCTCTCCTAGGCCCAGTTCAGAGCTTGTCTATATTCCCACCCCACCCAAGTCTGTGCTGTCATCTCCAGTGCCTGGAAGACTGCTGCCCACACTGCTGCTGATTGCGTTCTTTCTCCTTTCTCTCATTCTGAGACAGCTTCCCAGCAGTAGGGGGATTGGTCATAGCCCCGATTATTTCCCTTGCATCTGGAATTCAGGAATTGGTTGTGGACTATATTCCTGCTGTTTGAAAGGTAGTCTTTCAAACACGTGGTTACCATGCTGACATTCTCTAAAGAACAGGAGATGGTCATTCTCATCTCCGAAACGCAGCTCTTCCCCAGTCCCCGATGTGATCTGGAGATGGTTTGACTAAGTTCCCCAGAGGTCCCCATGGAGACCCCATGCGTGGTCCCCAGTGTGGTGGTATTGAGGGGCTGGGACTTTTTAAAAAGTGGGGTCAAGTCTAGCTGATCACTTAATTAGAAAGGGGTTTTTATACTTCTCTAGACTCTGGTTAGTTACAGGAGTGAGTTGCTGCAAAAAGTGGGCATGGGTGGCAAGTCCTTTGGCTTCCTTTCTTGTGTGCACTCCATGTAATGCCATCTACTGTGTTATCATGTAGCCAGAAAAATCTTCAATTTAATCATCATTAAATAGATAGGGCAACCTGACCTTGGACTTTCACCCTTCCAAACTAAATGGACCTTATTTTTTCATAAGGTACATGGCCTCAGGCATTTTCTTCCGACAACAGAAAATGATGACTGCTGAACCCTAAGCTCTGGAAACATACCAGAAGTTAAGATGCTTTTCTTATAAAGAGTAAAACATGATTCCAGTCAAGGGCTGAAGTTGGCTCCATGCAGCCTTTGCTGACAACCTCCTCCATGGGAAATGACAGTTTATTTGGAATGAACATTCCTATGTGGGTGGGCTGCACATGGATGAGTACATCAGGGAGGGAGGCAGCTCTTCCTGGCCAGCTGAATCTGCTAGGTCAAGCACTGGGCTCAGCTGGCGGGGTTGGCTGTACTCACCAGCACCATTTCTTCCAGGGAGGGTGGTGTGGGAGAGACTGGATTATGCTGATGAATGAGCCGAATTTTCACGACAACATTGGCAATGCCATGAGCCCTAGTTGGCGTTGTTTACAATATGTAATTTTGTTGTTTGTGCTGCAGTTCTATGTTGTATGGTAATCCCCCCCCCACTCTCTCCCTGTCTCTCTCTCTCTACCCCCCCCCCCTCTGTGTGTGTGTGTGTTTTGGAAGAAGATAATTATCTGTTGTTTGGAAACTGTAAAAAATTATAACTGGTAACATACTGTTCTTCATTGTTCTTTTTGCAAGTGAAATAGTGTTTCTTTGTTTCATCTGCCCTGTTTGCTTCTGTGAGGCCTGTGTTTGCAGTAATTTCTTCCTCAGCTTGTGGACATGGCCTTTAGATAGCTCAGCTAAGCTACCTCTTGGTTTGGTGACACCTGCTCATCTCTTGGGAGAGATGAGTAAAGTATTTTGCATTTGTCTCTCTTGCATGATGTCCTCTTAAAACATCTTTTTGGTGGTCTAACTCTTATCCTAAATTCCTTGTCTTGTTTTATTTGTTTGAGATAGGTATCACATCCTATTGCTCCCACCTTCCAAGGATTGGTTTTATGGACATGTGTGACCATGATGGAGAGGTCTTGATTTAGAAAAGTTAACCTAGTAATAGCATCACCCCTTCCTATCTTTGTCTAACTGATATTGTGAGGACACTTAATGGACACATGAGTGGTTGTTTGGTTGTCTGTTTTCCCTCAGCAAAAGGAAGAAGCCACCAGACATCATTGTTACTTAGTTTTGTATGTAAGTATCCTTATATATATATAAGTGTCCTTATCTTGCAGTTCAGAATAGATTAGTTTTGGAAATGATGAGGCCTTCTTGTCTAGATGTTTCCTCAACTCATGTACCATAACTGGCTTTGGCTTGAGCCCTACATGAGACTTGACTTTAGAGATTAAAATTAAGTAAATGAAGAATAATCAGAAATATTTTTATTAAATTTTTGATTTTTTTTTAGAAAAACTAAAAATATGTCTTTTAGAAGGAGTTTATTTAAAAGATTCATTTTTCTGGGTTTGCTATGCATTTGTTATAAATAATAAATAACATTATGGCAGTTGACTGCCACACTTCTGTGCAAAATAAATAAATGCATTTGGTGATACACATCTGAGGGATGTGATTCTTGTAATTTTTATGGAAACAAGGAAAAACTTAACAGTTGATAGAGATTTTACCATCTGTTAGCCGAGAAGAAACAGTGTGGCATTTACCAACTTTAACAGGTACACCGGCCTGCCAGGAACAACGATTATCTAAAACTGGTCCCTCATCCTCAGGAAGCTGACCTAACTCTCTAACTGGAGGGGAAAGGCTTATTTGCTGCTAAAGCAGATGGCATAGCCATCACATTGCTCCAGAGGCATGGCAGTGAGGGATGGGAGCTGCTCTTTCATGGTGATCTGGAGAGAAAGACCCTGTGATGGTTGATGAGTGCTTGTGCGGGGTTCCTCCTGCAGTTAGTGCCAGGTGGACTAGTCAAGTGGCTGCTATCTGTATGAGCAAAAGCACTGAGCACTGGTGGGAAGGTGAAGGTAGAGACACCCATGGAGAGATGGGAATTGGGAAGTCCTACCTTTCCCTTAGAGTAGCATTTGCTGTAATACGCTCCTGACATAACATAGGAGGACTGAGTTGCTAGTTAAGGAGGAGTGGTTGGGTTGCCTTTGGAAAGACCTCCGCTCAGTGGAGGCTACAGAGCTACATCAAACAGAGAGGCTAAAGAGAAGGCACTGGGATGCAGGGCCTTGCTTTTTTGTGATTCCTTTAATCTCCTTTGATGACAAGAGGGTGATTCTACACTCGGTCATCCGGTGTCACCTGATGGCATGGATGCACAGTGTCGACCTTGTGATGGCCTGTGAAAGAATGGCAGGTGCATTTCTTCTGTCCCAAGGGTGCCCCATCCTTTCTGCCAGAAGCCATACTCTGGCCATACAGGCAGAACCACCTGGGGGACTTTTATCTAGCCATGGACTGTCTTTTAGGATGGTTTTGTTTTTGTCTCTTCAAACTCAAAGGGTCTGAGAGTAAGGGGTTTATTTAAACAGGAAGTGCTTCCCCTCTCCTCCAGCTTTCCTAAATTCCTACCCGACTCTTATTCTAAAACCCTGGAAATATATTGTGTCCGATATTCGCTGATCTGATTTTGGTGTCCAGCCTCTCGCTTTGGTCTTAAACATTTAAACCTTGTTGCAAAATAAACTATAACTTTTTTCCCTCCTCTGCCAATAACCCTGCATGTTTTTGGTTGCATCTCCTATTTGGAGTCCAGTGTGCTTGTGCTGTCTCTCTCAGGCCTTTGAGGGAAGTGTTTCTCAGATCTGCACCTACAAAGATACCAAATGCAGGCTTGTCAGGTTGAAAGCGTTTTCTCTTCTTGTGGTGTTTGTATTTTTTACAGGGGTGAAGACATCTTGAGCCAGAGGAATGATTCTCTAGTTCTGGAATTTCAGTCATCAGCCAGCAGATGCAGGAGGTATAATTTTGGGTGTGGGGGCCTCCTCAGAAGCCCAGCAACCATCCTAAAGGACCACCTGCCTGCTCATCTTGCATAAGGCCACTCCATGTGTCACTCCTGTCTTGTGTGTGGTCGGCTCAGCCTGGCTGAGGGTGGCCTGCATGGCATGTGTGTCAAGATCTCTGTTTGACAGTTGGCACCCTGAGTGCTACTCCCAGGGTTAAATGTGCTGGAGAGAAGGGAAGTTCACATGCATGCAATGCCAGGTCCTGTTTTTTTTTTTTTTTTTTTTTTTTTTTTTTTTTTAAGTGCCTTTTTTTTTTTTTTTCTTTCTTTTTTGTAAGTGCCATTCAAAGTTAGTCTGAAGTTAGAAGTTGATAATAGTCTCCGTTGTTCAAAGCCCACTTCATGCCTCTGCATCATAAATCATGTGTCTTCCATCTCATCACTGTGTGAAACCCATGGAATGTTTACAGAAGCTGGGGATTCGTAGGGCAGGCACAACCAGCAGCATAGGGTACTCACAGCTTCTCGTTTGGATTGGAGGCCTGGTTCTATAAATGAGTGTGTGTCGAGGGTCCCCGTTGTGCTGTTCACTGTCACCTCAGCCATGCTCAGAAAATGACTGTGATATTGGAAGGCTGAGCCTCTCTGTTGGTAGAAGATTTTTTTATGTAAGGACACTGGTTGGGCTCCCAAACCTAATAACTTTGGGTAATGTACTAAGGATGAATTAAAATGCTAATGGTCTCCTTGCTCTGGATATTTTAGCATTCCCTAATTTTAAATTTAAATTAAATGCCTCAGGGGCAAGAGTAGCCTTGCCAGAAGCATGTGTAGTATCATCCCACAGACAGTGACTTTAAAATATGCCCTGACCACATGGGCCCAACTGGGATGAGGAGTACTTTTTAATCACTGTGGTTTTTTTTTTTTTTTTTTTTTTTTTTTTTTTTTTTTTTTTGTGTGTGTGTGTGTGTGTGCTCCCTGCATCTACATGACACAATCACTAACGAAGGCTATTTAACTTTTAAAACATTATTATTTTCACAAAGTTCTTTTGAACCCACAGATCCTTTGATTTTTAACCATTTGTTAATAGCAGTACCCTGGATTTCAAGACACCTAAGTGTCCTAGAGCTTTCTTTTGAATTGCCAACACAACCTCTCATTTTGACCTTCCACAATGCCCTAAGCCATCCCTACCTTATAATGGAGACACTGAGGGGTAAATAGGTTGTGTTTTTTTTTTTCCATCTCCTTTCTGGACCATGGAGAATTTTATTTAATAGGTAGGTGTCTTGGCTCTCAGCTTAGCCCTCTGTTTTCTAGATCAAGCCAAACCAAATGATGGCAAGGCCACTGTCATTCTTTACTGGGGGATGTGTGTTTTCCTGTTGGGTAGTGTTGCATGCCTGCACTAGGCCAGTGAGCCCAGGAGCCCAGTGTGTTTCTTTCATCAGGAAGAGAGTCACTTTCTCATCCCTAGTTGAATAAGCCCCTTTATTCTCCCCTTATGAGAAGAATGGCACACTTTATTTCCCCCTTCATACTTCCAGTTGTTTGGTGTCTGGCCACTCCATGGTTGTATTTTGGTGACTAGATTATTACTTTTCTTCAACCAGAAGGCTTAGTTCCTGATGACATTGATATAATTCAATTTCCATCCTTTCCCTTTGTCACCTATACCCCTTCCTCCTAGCACATTTTTTTATGGTTAGTAGGAGTGATAATGTCAAATATATCAGAAGGAAGAATTGATTCAGTAGTCGTTTGACGACTTGACTGATTAGCAGAGATCAGGAGAAGACTCATAACTGTGAAATCCACTGCAGCATGGAGTTTTAACAGCTCTTTAGGGAGCTAGTTAATGATAAAATCACTACAGAAACACAGCCATGCCACACACACACACAAAAATCCCAACCAGGAGCATTCCCATATAACACTCAGAGGCAGTGTCATGAGAGGAAGTAGGCTCATAATTTCTATTTACACATCGAAGTAATTACCGTGGGCCCGAGCAAGGCACTCAGTCTTCTGTCAGAGTTGCTTACATAGTTCCTTTCTTGTGTTATCAGGCAGAGGAGTCTAATTCTGGTTGGAACTTGTCCTACGGATTTTCCCTCTGGAAGAATGTGATTATCAGACATGGAATTCAGTTGGCCTGCTGAGCCTGGCTTTAATCTCATCCTTGTTCTTGCTGTCATTGCCATTTGTCCTTTAACCAGATGTATGTGACTTTGGGCTTGGCTCTTTAATTTTGGGGGTTGTTCTCTTTCCTTTCTCCTGGTGCAGTGTCTATGAACCAGATAGGAGTGCGTTACGAAGGAAAGAACGAGAAAGAAGAAGCCAGGAAGCGCAGCAGGACAGTGGCGGCTTTAATTCCAGTTACTCTCTCTTCAGTGAACCCTACAAGGTAGATGGTTTTCAGCTGTTCATCTCCCCTTTCTGCTTCTGGGAATGTCCTGTGAAGGAGTTGACGAGAAACCCCAGGTCGTTTTTGACCTGGGAAGATAGGCCTGTCACTGTGGCACCCCTTCCCCACAAATTAGATTGCAAGGCTATGTGGGTTGCTGTACTTCATAGGTTAAATGTGACACTGAGACCCACTTGCTATGATTTTTATCAATAATTCAGACTTCATCTCTTTGGTTTCAAAATTAATGCCATCTGTTATGTTTTCTGATCTCTTAAATACTATTCAAAAGAGTTTAGGTTAGATATTTGATATGTGTGGCTCATGCCAGGATCAAGGCACCTGTTAGGGCTAATGAAGTTGGGGAGGGTTCAGGATTGCTCAGTGATGGAGGTAAGCAGCTACCAAGCCTAAAGACCCGAGTTTAATCCCTAGGACTCAAATGGTGGAAGGAGATAATAATATTGCAAGTTGTCCCCCCCTTCCTCCTTCCTTCCCTCTCTCCCTCCCTCCCTCCCTCCCTCCCTCCCTCC